CTGTTTGGAGGTCACAAAATGTACAAACATTTTTTTCTTCTGCATTACAAATTGCATCTTCTAAACTTTGGATCCCGAAAACAGAAATTATATTCAGGTTTAAAGGTAAAAATGTGATCTGTCTAGAGATTGGGCTCAATTGGCATGAATTATTAGTACACTTTTTACTGAAAATTGCACTAAAACAATATTTTAAAGCTATATGTTTAAAAATGAAGGACACATTACAAGCAAATTCACAGAGGCTTTCTTTTGTTTCAAATACAGCACACCGATTTCGCATTCTGCATATATCACAGTCATTAGCAACAGGATCTGCTAAAAGTTTAATGTATTGAGGAATTAAATCATCAGAGTATCTGTTCAATGTTTCTTGAAAACTTCTACTTTGAATATATCCCATACTTAAGAAATGCATGACTGAATCAAAGCAACATGTATTTTTCAAACTCACATTAATAAATTTTTGTACTTAGATTTCACGAAAACCTAAATTTGTCCATATCTTTTTATCGTGTTGACTCAGGACCTTGATTTTTATACATCTTATAGGGACTATAGACCTTAGTATTTGGTATAAATTTAAACTTGCTAGGTCCATCCGTTCCTGAAACAATCGGTGGTGACACACGGACAGACGGACGGACGGACAGACGGACAAGAGAGTGCATCTTATAAGGGTTCCTTTTTACCTTTTGAGGTACCTAGGAACCCTAAAAAAATGAGAATAGATATTTATTTTATTGATATGCTGTAAATTTTAATTTACGTTTAATACACAACATACCTAACGTGTTGATTTAGATAAGGTATAATACTCAATTTTTCAAAATAAATGAGTAAATTAAATTTAAATATTGCCAATTGTAATATTATTTTCTAATACTGAAGGTATCTTTAAAAGTTTTCCGAGCAGACTTTATAAACACATTCAAAGCTATTAAATTGTAAAACAAAACGTTCAAGTAACTATACCCTTAATTGAGCATACAATAGGCAGCAGAATAACTTAAATTATTGTTGCTTTGTTAAAGCAAAAATAACATTATAAAAAAGTCACAATGATGTAAACCAATGTTCAAAAATTGCAAATATAACCTTACTTAAATGTTAACACAATTAGCACAAAATTAAAAAGTAAATAATATACAAGGCAAGTAATACAAAAGTAGAATGCAGTAACGACAGTATCTAATTAGTTAGCTAATTAACCTACAGACACAACCACAATTAAATAAATGTTTTTTGAATATGTAAAAGATAAAAATGGTTACTGTGGGTTATCCTTAGGATATAGACATATAATATCTTGACCTTTTTGTAGATCTTTTTAAGATATACAATTCCATAATACTTTATTTTGATCTATCTCTTAAGGATTAGCCAGCGTTTGCAATGTAAGCGCACAAAAACATGTTTTTCACGAATTCTCAGATTTCCTCTTCTGTTGCATATAAACCCGCCTCTTGAACCACTCTCTCTATAGGTGAAAACCGCATTAAAATCTTTTGCCTAGTTTGAAAGATCTAAACGTACAAGAAAAACAGTGACTTCATTTTATACTATGTAAAGATAGAAAACCATGTTTATTATCTGACTGTACAAAATAGCATTTTTGGGTGTTGTCGAATTATTAGTGAAAGAAATATTAAAATTAAAAGTGTTGAGTCGGACAAGTCACATCAACAGCCTTTAATAGTCCACTGCTGGACATAGGCCTCTCCTTAGAAAGAAGGTTTTGGCCTACTATACCACGCTGGCCAGGCGGGTTGGTATAGGGTTTGTGTCAAGTTTTCCGTCTTTTTGCAATGCTGGTGTTTTGCGCCCTTAGTCGGCTCTTACGACACCCACGGGATGAATTGGGGTAGTGACATTCCGTATTCTTAATCCGTCACTACACGGACAAGTACCTAAAAATATTTGTTTCCGAAACGTCAGTAAGCTAATATGTGCAAACAAGTCAATTTCACCGTTAATGAATATCAATTTTCTAAAAAAAATATGATTGAAAGTAGATAGGAATGAAATTAATTTAGAATGACCCCATACAATCTATACTAATATTATAAAGCTGAAGAGTTTGTTTGTTTGTTTGAACGCGCTAAACTCAGGAACTACTGGTCCGATTTGAAAAATTCTTTCAGTGTTAGATAGCAATTTATCGAGGAAGACTATAGGCTATATATCATCACGCTAAGACCAATAGGAGCGGAGCACCAATGAAGAATGTTTCAAAAACGGAGAAAATTTATTACTATTGAGAGACGCAGACAAAGTTGCGCGGGTCAGCTAGTAATTAGATAAAATGAAAAAGATTTGTTTTTACGAAACAAAAAATACCTTTTATATAAGTTATTCATGGACACCCTACAAAAAAATTTGTTAGGAAATTAAAGAATAGCTAATAACTTCGTAGATACTGTACTTTTTTATGACAGGATTATACGAACATTTAGTATAAATTTATACTAAATATTGATGTAGTATGTTCGAAATTTCCTCACAAGTAGATCCTCCTATAAGTAAATTTAAGTCAAATAAAGTATATTTAAGTCAAATCTATTTACCGAAGCATCTTAACTGAGGAGCCAGTTAAAATGTGCCATATCTCCTAATTCACTCATTTTTAATTACTGATTTTTACACTACAAATTTAACATACTTACTACTGAATGATGAAGAAATTGCGCATCAATTGAAAAACTACTTCTTTTAAAAAATGACAGTCGTATGTATGGTCTGAGGAGCCACATATGTAATGTATGGTAACTTTTTTATTTTTAACATTACCGAGCTCAGATTTTGTCTACTAACTAATTTCAAATACTACAAAATTATACTAAATTATCATAAATATACATCCGCTATGTTCTGACGTGGCTCCTCAATCCAAACATTTAGATTGAGGAGCCACTCTTATGTTCATATAACTTGAAAAGTATTATAGCATCGCGGCTACAATTTTTTTTAAATGACTACTAAATAATATATTAATTTCATTATGATTTGAAGAGTGGCTCCTCAATCCGACATGAATCTCCGATTAAAAAAGGGCGAACCATTATGTAAGTATGCAATGTTCGGTCAATCGTAATGATACTCGTAGGTACTGAACAGCAACGTTTTATCGCAGAACTAATAAGACGTCGATAATGATCTTACAGTAAATAAATAAATAATATTGTACCACATTCACACAACGCCATCTAGTCCCAAACTTAGCAGAGCTTGTACTATGGGTACTAGACAACTGATATAAATACATATATACTTTTTTTTTGTAAATCATCATCATCACATCATCAACAGCCTTTAATAGTCCACTGCTGGACATAAGCCTCTCCTTAGAAAGGAGGTTTTGGCCTACTATACCACGCTGGCCGGACGGGTTGATATAGGGTTTGTGTCAAGTTTTCCTTCTCTCTGCAGTGCTGTTGTTCTGCGTAGTTTTTTTTCCTTAGTCCGCTCTTACGACGCCCACGGGATGAATAGGGGTGGTGACACTCTGTATTCTTAATCCGTCACCACACTTTTTTGTAAATACATACTTATTATACATAGAAACACACAAATGTTTGACTTGAGCGGGAATCGAACCCTTGACCTTTTTAATAGCAGTCCGTTACACAAACCACTACGCCATTCGGTCGTCAGTGCACCAGATAATGTAAAATCATATAATTTACTTAAAGACTGTTAGGTTTTAGGGTTAGGATATTTAGGTACAACTTCAGTTTGGAGACAAACTGCACTCATACATATTCCAGTCCCTTAACTTTTTCTACTTGAGCTTACAAAAATCATGTCTTTGAATTGTTTCAACAAGTTGCACGCTGTATAAACCGAGCATTTACTGTTATTTTCTGTCACTTTAAATTAATATAATTCAGATAATCTTCGTTTAATACCTGATAGCACTTGATTTCTCTCAAGAGATTTGGCCTTGTAACTTACTTTGCTGGCTCACGTGGCTGACTGGACATCCCCCATATAATCAATGTAATAGGGAGTTTTTAATGTTAGATGAAAAAATATGCAGTTAACTACCGAACTAAAGGGGTATTTTATCAGCCTATGGCCTTTATTAGCATTGTAGCTTTAAAATAATCTCACCTGTTTTACAACCGTCACAAATTCAGTTAGTTTCACAACTGTGACACAAATCTAACCCAAATATTTAATCAAAACATTCTTCCCTCATAATATCGGAAAACATCGGTACCATCGGCAACGAGTGTCCTTGGCAGGTACGACAAAACGTCAATGAATTTTAATATACCGTCTACGATAACCCAGTTATCGTAACGTAAGCTGTACAATATAAAAAGCGGCAAGTACGCTTGCCGTATCCTTCGCGGCACGAATAGTACCGACTGCCTTCCCGTCGACACCGCACGTAAGTTCCCTTTGCCACTAACTTTCCACGCACGCATTAGTCAGCCCGCACGCCGACCAAAGGAGCAAGTCGATAATGTTCAAATAAAATAACATCGTACTCTGTATGCTAGAGAAAATACTTATAAAATTAATCATGATAAACAGTATAGTCACCAAAAGAAATAAGGCTTTCTAATAGAAATACAACGACTTGATATACACGAAACCGCCCTAGAAACGTCGATAATTCAATAAATCACAAATATGAATCATTTTTGTTTTAAAAGTGTACTAGTACTAAGCTATATATTGTAATTGTAAGCATTAAATCAAAGTAATAATATTTTTGGCATCATTATAACTTGTGCACTTATTCATTACTTTCATTAATTTTAGATTTTATACTTAGTTTACTTGACTGCCCACCAGTTAACTAAATTACTGGGAGTAACTAGTTTTGACTTTTAAGCTTAATGATACAGATAAAATAAAGATAATATTGTTTTGTACGTGCATTTTCGGGACGTAGGCCAAGGGACATTCTGATTATATAATAAGATTATTATTATTTTGTTTCAGTTTTCACAAAATGGTTATAAAAATCTAACGATTCCGTACGTACGATGAGTTTGTTCGTTGATTTACGTCAAATTAAATCATCAGTAACAAACCTATCTGAAATGGTTGACAAAATATCTTCATCTGTAACTAAAGAAAAGAAACAAGACGAACGTCCAAAGAGAGATGAAATTCTATACAGCAGTTCTATGTATAAACCAACTACCGTAGGATTCGGTGTTCGTTTTTCCAGCCAAGAAGATGTTTATCAAAGCTTACCCATGCCCTCTTCCAGGCTACGCAGTCACGTGTCGATGCCCAATTTAGACAAATCAGACAATGTGTTCGAAAAACCTTTAGTGTCACGACACGAAGGCAGAAAGAAAATAGTGGAAATCGACGAGGAACGAGATGATAAAAATAGACCAGCAATACAGTTATCTACGGAAAATCTTAGTGAGTGGGTCATAGCCTCTATAATCAAACGACCGCATTTTGATGATGTTGCAGATACTCATCCAATGGATTTTTTGGAAGATTTAAATTATTATATATCCGAATTAAGAATGACTGAGGATAAAAAATTACCATTTATAATATCGTGCTTAGAAGGAATGCCACTCATGTGGGCTCGATGTTTCAGAAATGAGTTTACAGACGTGCAATCATTTTGTAGTGCATTTGAGCAAGAATTTTGGGGCTCCGATAGGCAAAAAGCTGTGCTATATGACATGAAACTCGGGAAGTACGATGACGGAAATCCGCGTATCAGTATGTCAGAATACTTCTTACATAAAGTGTCTAACTATCGGCATTTGACGCCGCCACCTTCTGATTTGGAAATAGTATACTCCCTAGCAGCTCACTTTCCTACGGCTGTAGAGTTAGAGCTTCGTCTAGCACCGAAACCTACATTACGTGAAGCCTACCGTGTATTGCGGCGTAGAGAGGGCGAGGCAGCAGATTTCCTTCCAAATTATTTGTATGAAATGTGTGAAGCATTTCAACGAGGTCAAAGGCCCGAATCTGCTCGGCGTGATCCATCACAACCTTCTAGCTCCGAAAACCAAGACAAGAAAGGCACGAATTGACATTAATCTACTTTGCACAAAACTTTGTATGTACGTATCAATCACTGCCAACGGTTCTTAATTAAGTGAATAATGTCAAGGCAACATAAACATATACTTAAAATAAAGAAATATCCAAAAACACTCGATTGTTTTATTTCTCAGATTACATTTCAATTTCTCAAACATTCAACCTAACATCATTGTTATATTAATGAACTTTTTTATGTTTTGTTGTTACATTGAAGAGCATTGCATGAGAGCGAAGGCAACTGGACGGAGAGTGATTGCTTGGACGCGCGTCGCAACGGCGTGCTATGGAGTGGTCAGGCCCGCGCATGTCGCCGGCAACCTGCTGCCATGCCACACGTAGCAGCGGCCGCTCGCCTGGCTCGAACAGCTTGCCTCGCAGCACACGCAGGAGAACGATGGAACTGTTCATCCATTGAACTCGCGCCCAAGTACACGCCTGACTTGCTCACCGGTGCGTATTATTAATGTTTATATTTATTTATATCAGCTGTGGCTGCGTGAGAGAATTCATTTTTCTTAAAAAGAGGTCACCTCGATTTTATAGTATGGTTGATTTTATGGTTTATTACCAGACTGCCGTGTGTGACATGTTTGAAGTTATTAAGTTAAGTAATGTAATATACATAATATCATGTACATGTACAAAAACTTAATCGTCTTTTCAGTTTACGGTTTTGTCTATTCCAAAAATTAAGAGAGCGGCTTCAACGACCATTGTCCATGTCAATGTGTAGTAGTAGGGGAGTTGTGTAGCAGCATCAGGGACTGCCTTTCTAGGGTATACCTGGTTCCCCGGCTATTAGTATCCGAGACGGCGTGCGGTTTTAGTCGGTTCGAGTCCGACATGCCACCGGTGGTAACCGAGGGAATTTCCGCGAGGAAAAAAAAACAAAAAAAGGGGAGTTGTGTAGTAGTAGAGGAGCCCTAAAAGGGATTTCGGGATTTACTCGAGCTTGGCAGATTAACATACGGAGGAATACCTTACACCCAGTTGAGTACCTCCACCTTTAGTCCCCAGTACGTCAACCAATTCAATAAAAAAATAATCCATATCTGATTTTTTGTCGGTAGCTTCATTTTAAAGAGTCCAATAAACTTTCTTATAACACGCGTAAAGTGCGCGTATTCATACGTACACAGACGTATAATTTACTAAAAAGTTCGAAACGTTTTTTTTCGACAAAAATGCTTGTCTACCAACGCAAACATGTCGGATACACGATGTTTTATTTTGCGACACAAATACAAAGTTCATTTTTGCACTATTAATTCCTAATTCCTTATAAAAATCTGCGGTTCTGTTGTCCGACTAATATTCTGCTGCGTTTCCTATAGCCGACAGTATATTGAAATAGCGATTTTTCGAATTTGCAGTTTGTATTTTCGATAATGCACTACGAGCTTGTCATTTTAAAATCATCAGACCTTTCAATGGTAGATTTTTTGGCGTCCGAATAACATATCCTCTTAATATCTGATGATGATATTTATTTTTCGATTTTTGAAAATCTGTAAAAGCTTCTTCAACTGCTAAAAATGGAACCATTATATAACTTTTATTCATTCTATAACGTAATCTTTCAAATGCAATAGGTCCCATTACGCTCGAGCAATCCCTATTAAGCATCATCGGCTAGTGGGTGTACTATAAGCGTTTAATACATCTAAATATACTACAGTACTTAGGCAGTGGTAGATACATAATATCTACCACTGCCTGAATACTGTTACAAAGTTACAAAACTTCTAATGGCAACAGATAATAAAAAGGACGACTTTTCAAGAATTGAAAGGTTTCCAATATTCGGTAATAGTCCAATAGCGAGCCGATTATAGTTGTAGTCACAGTCTCTCCCCATTTGTCAAACCCATTCATTTTGTTATCGATTTATCACCGCCTATTCAATGCTGTGATATAATAATTTACTAGCGATTTAGCTCGTTTGTAACACGAAACGAATATGTTTATTCAATTTTTAAATGTAAATATATACAAAATTGAATAGGTTACTACCTACCCATTGCAAGATATCGTTAGATGTAAAATCGCGATAATAATTACAATTTGTGATACCTTTTTTGGATTATCTAACGTTACGATCGAATTGCTACAATCACGGTAATGAGGGTACAGTAAAAGTGGAAAAATAGTTTTACATCGTATGCCGTATATATTATTCGATACGAGCCACGGTAGCTATTTTATATTATTACATTTAATACTCAATGCAAAATTAAATTATTGTGGCGGTAGATTTGATAAGTGCATATTATAGCATGGTCAAATATCAAAAGGTTTTTAACCGCCTATAAAAAGGCGAAAAAAAAACAGAAAAAGGTATCTTAACCTAATGCAACAAAAATTTAAAATTGATCACTGCGGTTTCGTGTAAGTTATTTATTAATAATAACAGCCCATCTAAATATAAACAGTAAAATGCGTCATTTCACGACACCATAACTATAAATTTTATCTGGATTGACACTATCATCCTGTCACCATCTCTTAATTTAATAGCAATTAAAATTAACGCTACCTCAGGTAACTCTTCCTCTAGTTGATCATGTCTTGATGTGGGACGTCGGCGAAAAAAAAAAAGATTTAAAAAATTAAGAAATTAAATGGTTAATGGGAAAGAGTGCGGTTAAAGTTCGTCAAAGCCCAGTGAAGTAGTGAAATGTACCTAAGTACGTGGTTCTTTTAAGAACTTACTCAAGATTTGTGGTTTATCAAATTATGATATTTAAATTCTTTTTGAAACAATTGTCTCCACTATTACGCCAGAGTTTAAAAAGAACACACATACGCAAAGATTCAAGATAAAGTCTTATGCTATGTAGAAAAGGCTGCTACTCATCAAAAATGAAAGATAAGGGAGGACAAGTTTGCCGAGACTTTTAAATCAACGTCTATCTATTGTAAAAGCGCGGCCGCCGTGACGACAGCGCCCTTTCTTTCAGCGACATGCAAGCGTAGTCGTTCCGCTTCGACCATTCTTTTTATTTCCATGACCCATGAACTTATTTATCACTTCTCGGGCAATTAACTGCCAAATTACTCCATTGTTTAGTGGGATTTTAAGATTTTTTTTTTAAATTATTAATCACTTTAAAATAACTGAGCTTGTAAAGAGCAAGCATGCCTATGACGATCCAGTATCGAATCAGAAACCTTATTAAATAACCGAAGACGTCACGCGATGTCTTCATAATTCTACGCCAGCACGAAACTCGTTGTTGAACGAAATGCCACCGCCCATACGGCACGGGTTTCGTAGCATCACGTGACTGCATAGTAAGTAGGTAGTTAAATATTGATCCATTAAATGACAAAAAAGTGATGCATGCCCAAACCTATTCTTATTTGCTATATCGTATTCGTAACGATATAGCCAATAAGAATATTGCTTGTGTTAATTTCTTCGATGAACTTTGATTTGATGTAACTTTTTCATCACGATATCAGCCGAAAGACGTCGTACTACGTTTTAATAATATTAGCACAATCTTCTTTCAATTCTCAACATCGAGCCTAATCAATGTTCCAAGAAAGACAGTAAAAACAACTGTCTAAAAGTTAGGAATAGAAGGAGACAAACAATAGCGAAGTTTTTCTAGTTTTACATGGTCGGCGACATTGTGTAGTTGGCAGCAAATGCCGGCCGGATGCCGACGGCTGACTGCTGCAAAATACGGAGCATTGTTTTTGGTCACCATTTCGGCGTCTGTCTGCCCACTTTAGGAAATTAATTGACACGGAACGTTGTAGACTACAAACAAAACCTTTAGGAATCTTTGGAGTGCTCTGGCTTGATACATTTTAATTAAAAGTTTTAAATAGCGAATAAAGTTGACGGCCGCTGGGCACCGAACAAAGACAAACTTTTTATTAAAAAACAAAGTAGCTGCTGTGATAGGTATCCATCTAATTTTACTTAACGTAAACGACTGAATCACAGACATTTAAAAGCTTTGTTCTTAATTTTTATGCGAATTTTGTTTGTCTGTACACTCTCTAGTTGTCGTATAAATTAATGACTGATGTTGAACCATGTGTATTGTAACAGTAAAGAGTAAGGAAATTTGTCACTCATCCTTACTAGTATTTCAATTTTATTTTTTTACGTTTAACCCAGATTTAGAATAACTATCTGTGAATGGCAAAGAAAGGCAACCAAGCAGCTTATCTACGTTTCGAAATTCATAAATAATTATTTATTCTACTCATTTATTTTGAAAGAGCTAAAGATTTAGATTAGCTAAAACCTACTTAAAGTCCATGAAATCTAAGACGTAGGTACCGTTTGATGTTTCATACTTTTCAATCCGATACAACTTTGTATTGGCGAACTCACACAATTATAATAACCTTTTTATAAAACCTTTAACATTAACCGTCATCTACCTTACCTTTTCTTTTTATAATAAAATATTCCGTAAAACCAATTTCATGGTTTTTATGAAGGTATTTTTATTTTATCACAAGATGTCATGTACAATTCTTAATGACTGAATTTCAATATATTAAAAAAAGCTAAATAAGCAATATATATTATACAATAGATAGAATTATATTTAGACTTCGTGTCAAAGTCACGTAGTTAGGTCCTTTACTCTAGGACGTCCTTTACCGTTGTTGCGACTCTTTAAATTTACTTGTATACGAATAAGTGGTAAAATGTACAAATAATCGAACTTGTCAATAACATCAACAGCCTTTAATAGTCCACTGCTGGACATAAGCCTCTCCTTAGAAACCTCCTTTCTAAGGAGAGGCTTATGCCAATAACCTCCCGTTTCAATCCAGATATCTTACTATTCAATGACCAGCTGACATCCAACTGTCAAGGAAAACGCTTAGTTAAAATTAAAAATGCGTTAGCGTAAAAAAGTTAATGTAATTTCAAATAAATCTTTGTAGCAAAAAATCACTCGTCTCCACAAAAACACTTTTTTTTTTATCTGGGTGATTTGGTTAGGATGAAACTGAAAAGTCCAAAGAAAATTATATCTCTCTTATAAAATTCTGATATTAACCTACACACTTTACTAGTAAAACCTAATATATAATACTCAGAGATAATTACCATAGTCAGATTTAATTATCTGTGGGTTGGCGCGCAATTCGAAATTCAAATAATCCGCTCCTCATCCTTAACTTACATTAACGATTACACAACGATGACAGAAACTACTCATAATAACACTGTACAATTTGCACTGTACACTGTACAAATGATGTATCATATGTTTATGTGACATGACACCGATTGACGTTTCATGACTTTTCAAGCCGAAACTTTTGTTATAATTCATGTGTAAACTACCATCAAATTAGATGCAAGGTGTATTTTTGATCAATTTTACCAGTTATTGTGCAATTTATTTGCCTTTATTTAAGTGTGTTCAATTGTATTATACATTCAGTCAAAAAAGTATCGGGAATGGATG